AAAGCGCGCGCGATAATAGCTCAGTTACCGGCAGATACATTAACCGAAGCTACTCAATTAGATATGGTATACGGTTTGTTGCATAGGAGAATACGTGAAAAAGTCGCACGTGATAAGATCAATACATTTAGCGAACTCTTAAAAGAAGCGAGGCAAACTGAAGAATCGTATGAAAATCCGGAAATAAACATTAAAAACGAAAACGAATCAAAACGGGTACGGTGTAGCTTTTGCAAAAATCCAGGTCACGTGAAGGATGAATGTCGAAAATTGGCCGCAGCCAGAACCAGGGAAGCAGATTCTCGAAAATCTTCGGTTGAGCCCAAACCTAATCCTCCTCTAGTAACTTCTCGTACTAGCCCTAAACCAACCTTTTCTACTTCGAATCAGATTTCGTGTTATGGATGTAAGACTCCTGGATTCATTAAAAGTAATTGTCCAAAATGCAAATCATCCAGTAAATCCTCAGCAGTATCTGAATTTATGCTTGCTGAAACAGTTAATGTCGACCAACAATTTGCCACAAACCTATCAACTAAACCCATTGTTCAGGTCACTATTGAAGGTCATGTAGGTCATTGTTATCTTGATTCGGGAGCACAGTGCAGTATTGCTGGCTCTCAGCTAAGAGATATCCTCTTGAAGGATGAGGTACCCTTTTCCACAAAAAGTGTAGACATGACCCTAGCGGATGGTAGGACTACTTCTACCACTGTTTTGGTATTTGATTTAGTTGTTATCTTACAAAACCGCTCTCATAGCATTTCCTTAATTTCTGTGCCCACACACACAAATAGTCGTACCTTACTGGGGGCAGACTTCTTAAGAAAAGCTAACATCATTCTAGACATTCCTAATGACTCATGGTTTTATGGTGATGTCCCTAATATCCCCTACTCATTTGCTCCAGATCCAGCTCAGGTCAGCTCTCCTTGCCAGGTCAATAGCGTTACTCTTGCTCATTTAGAACTACGAGCAGATGAAGGAATTTCTCTATCCTTAGAAGAAAGATCCAATCTTAACAACATTGTTAAGGAAAATTCTGATTTATTCGTATATAATAAAGACCCTACTCCATATGCTGAACACTCCATTGTATTGGTTGATGATGTACCAATATCTGTTCCACCTTACCGTATGTCAGAGCCCAAAAGGCAATTACTGCGTCAGGAATTAGATAAACTTTTGGCTCAAGGCATAATCGAAGAGTGTGAGTCCCCATATGCTTCACCCGTGGTACTTGTGCCTAAGAAAGATGGAGGTATCAGATTAACAGTAGACTATCGACGCTTAAACGCAATAACACGTGCAGATAAGTACCCTCTGCCACGTATTGAAGATATTTTGCATGCAGCAAAGGAAACCCGATTTATGACTACCCTCGACTTAAAATATGGTTATCATCAAATCTCTGTACGAACAGCTGATCGTGACAAAACAGCCTTCGTGTGTCCATTTGGCACCTTTCGTTACACACGCATGCCCTTTGGTATGTGTAACAGTCCTGCTAGTTTCCAAAGGATGATTGATAAATTTCGTGCTGGTCTTCAAAATCTGAATATCCTAGCTTATTTAGATGATCTGATAATATTATCCCCATCCTTCTCTGATCACATAGACGATTTGAAACAAGTATTCAACCGGATGCGCCTATTTAAATTATGTCTAAATAGAGCGAAATGTTCATTCGCATGTGAGGAAGTCCAATATCTCGGACACATCCTTTCACCTTTGGGTATCCGGCCAAGTGAAAATAAAGTATCTGCCATATTAAACATGACACCACCCCTAAATGTTACTCAACTGCTAAAATTCCTGCAAACATGCTCATGGTTCCGTAGATTCATCGAAAATTTCTCCCATGTTGCTAAACCTTTGTCGAATTTAACCAAGAAAAATGTGAAATGGACCTGGGGAGCAGAACAACAAGAGGCCTTTGAATGTCTGAAACAATTATTGTGTTCCGCCCCAATCCTACGACAAGCTGACTGCAATTTACCTTATATCCTTCGTACAGATGCTAGCAATTATGCTTTGGGGGCATGTCTTCTGCAGGGGGAGAAAGAGAACGAACGACCTGTAGAGTATGCTTCGAGACTCCTGACTCCTGCTGAACAAAACTATAGCACTACAGAACGAGAAGCTCTTGCTGTGGTTTGGGCAGTGAAGAAATTTCGAGGATACTTAGAAGGCGCTACTACCATAGTGCAAAGTGATCACCAAGCCTTAAAATGGCTAATGACCTTAAAGTCCCCTACTGGACGGTTAGCTCGATGGGCTCTAGAGCTCATGCCATATGACCTAAAAATAGAATATATCACAGGAAGAAAAAATGTAATCGCAGATACTCTATCAAGGCCTCCCATGACAGAAGTTCCCATCATAGCTGAAGTTCATCTAGTAAGAGTAGATTTTCCAACTCTTAGTGTTGCTGATGTTCGAGAAGAGCAGCTTAATGATCCAGATGTTGCCAAGATTATTAGGTGTTTAGAAGATCCCTCTTCTGACACAAGCGTAGATTTCAAGAGGTGGGCAGAAAGAGGATATATCATGAACAATGGGATATTATACCGTTATACTCCTGAAGTAGATGAAGAAGAGCCCCAATTGGTAGTGGCTAGTACACGTATTCCTCACATACTGCATGAGTACCATGATTCCGCTACTGCTGGTCATTATGGAGTGGAGAAGACGTATCAAAGAATAATAAGACGATACTATTGGCCTGGAATGAAGAAAATTATCTCTGACCATGTAAGTAAATGTCTTGAGTGCCAAGGCTATAAAGTCTCTAACCTCAAACCCGCTGGTCTGCTACAAACCCTGTTCAGTCCCAGAGGTTTGAAGTGCTATCTATTGATTTATTTGGGCCTTTGCCCCTCTCTCCTCAAGGTTATACATGGATTCTGGTAGTGGAAGACACTGCTAGTCGTTGGGTAGAATTATTCCCGCTAGAATCTGCTACTGCCGCTGCCTGCGCCAAGTGTTTCATAGACAACATAATCTTACGATACGGAATCCCTCGTCGAGTCATCAGTGACAACGGTACTCAGTTCGTGAGTGCGGTAATGCAGCAAGTGGCGCATTGTTTCGGATACCAACAAAACCTTATACCTGTATACCACCCGGAAGCTAATCCCGTCGAACGAAAGAATAGAGACATTAAAACTCAGTTAGCTATTCTAACAAATAATTACCATTCGTCTTGGTCTGAAAAGTTACCCGCTATACGGTTCGCGATGAACACTGTGAAGTGCGACTCAACCGGTTTTACTCCTGCGTACCTCACGTTCGGTCGCGAGTTACGAACTCCTGATGATGCAAATCGTGATTTTCGAAGCATCATAGCCAAGGACAACTTCGTGCCACAAATCACGCCCTATCTACTAACTTTGAGTAAAGCTCTTAGTGAAGCCCGCGAGACACATGAACAATCTCAAGATAGACGTAAGAAGTATAAAGACTGCCACCGCCGCTCTGTTTCGTTCGAAGTAGGTGATATTGTGCTAGTCGATTCGCATACACTAAGTGACGCGTCTAAGTCCATAACTTCGAAGTTCGCGCCGCGTCGTGACGGACCCTACAAGGTGACCAAAATGCTGTCCCCTACAACCTATGAAGTTTCACACATCGACACTCCAGATGTTCCTGCTGGGAAATATCATGTCTCAGCCTTGACGCCTTTCCATGCCGATCCAGAAGATCCGTGCCCTGCTCCAGTTCAACCTCTCCGTAGAAGAGGTCGTCCAGTGAAATCCTCAGAAGCCGACCCTCCTGCTCCACTGGTCTCCTGCCAAGAGTCTTTGACCCTTGGGTTAGACGATAGCGAAATGAGCCCCCATGTTGGAGATGACCTTGCTCATATCGAAGCTGAACCTGCACCTGACCATATTGCCAGACGTAGACAACCCCGACCAAAACGTTGTCATTGCTGTCCTGTAGAGCTCTATTCCTGCTTAGACTCTGTTGCCCCACCCGCGAGTCGCCAGGGTGGTGCAAAGGGGGAGGATGTAACAGCCACACCGCTCCGTGGCTGAATACCACCAAGTAACCATGACAGTGTCCACCGAGAGTGAACGGTGACAAGAGACAGATAGATATGTGTTGTTGTAAGATGTAGGTTAAATTGTAACACATGGTTTTCTTTTAATAAAATCCTATAAATCAATATTCACAGTCATTACCTAACTATTTTTACTAATACCCACATCACAGAAGTGATATACCAACGATATATATAATAATATATGTAGGTATGTACTTTCCAATAAAACATTTATTTTGACAATTTAAGGCAAAAATATTTATTAATTACTTTGCTAAATAATTTATCTTCCATATTTTTTACAAAATATTGAAGTTATATTAAAATTAATCTAAAATTGGGTAATTATACTAGTGCTTTGCTAAGAATCCAAGCGGGCTCTTGCCTCATTGTGACGTCACTTTCGCGGAAGGTCTTTGCTTCAACGGTTGGGTACAAGGCGTGTCTATCAGTTTTTATGGTCTAAGAGATTTAAAATACATTTTACTTGTAGTGACTTAGTGGGTATGTCCTATGTTTTAATACTATTTTAATTGTGACGTCTAATTGTTAATACCGAATCTTTACATGCTTGGTAAGTCAAAACTTTTAAACTGTATTATGTCTGTCATAAAATGTTTTTTTTAGCCAATATATATTCTTGAAAAAGTCATGGATTTCCTGCCGAAACGTCGGAAAAATATATAAAAATGTTTTAGTGTCAAACTAAGTTTTTTTTATGAACCTAAGCCCAAGAGAATCCACTAAAAAATATATATTAAGGTTCAAGAACTAAACTCAAACTATATATATATATATATATATATATATATATATATATATATATATATATATAATATATATATATAATATATACATATATATATATATATATATATATATATATATATATATATATATAAGTAAAATGTATTTATATTATACTAATTAATCTTTATTTTCTTATAACTTAAAGAAAAATGTTCAAATGATTATGCAGACTGTTCCTGCCGGATGTTCAGTGAAGGAGTTAGTACATTATTTTCAAATTGTACATTCAGGTAAGTTTTAAGATAATCTATGTTTTAATATTTTTCTTAATGTTTTGTATGAAACTTAAGAGGTCGCTGGTTAAATGATACTTAGTATAAATAATAATGAAGAAAAAATTCAATAATTTGTTTGTAAATAAATTAACGAAAAATAGCAAAATACAATTGTGAATAAATTATGAAGTTAACTAGGTCCGTTTCGTTTGCTGCCTTTCGATAAAGTGTCTTGAGACTTAAGACGGTCAGAAAAGAACCTTCTAACCATTACGTGGTGGTCTGTATACCAAGAGGGTATACCAATATATCACTCTATCGTATTGCGATTTTGAGTGGCGATAATTTAAGTTAATTGTCACGGTAATACGAAACTTTACACTTGTGTGTATTGGCGACACAAAATAACAAAAGAAGTCAAATTCCACTAAGTAAGTACAACGATGCAGCAGCAACTCAATGGTTGAAGGAAAATTCAAGTCGTGTACCAGGTAGCGTCGCTTTTCTTTAGCCTACAATTAAACCACAATAGCAACGATAGCTTTAAGCATATTAAAAGCAACAGGGATCTCGCCTTTCAACACGAATATATATCTAGAATATATGTATTTGCCCAGCACAGTAACTGACGTACCTTTTGAGGCCGATAATGCAAACACTGAATCACCTAAACCGGGTGCATGTTTCACTGCAGCAGAACATTTTAATGAAGAAGATCCGCAGTCATCTACAACAGTAAATACAAACCCACATGAACATGTAGAGTCTTCAGCTAATAATGTCACAAGCGTTTTGTTGCAAATTTCACCTCTTCCTCGAGGAAATGAAAGAAAGTCCAGAAAAAAAAAAGGCCAATAGTTACCAAGATGTTCTTACCACGAGTCCATACCTCCAGAGTCTTCGCGCACAACAGAATATTTAGAAAGCGAGAGAGGTAAGAGGGAATAAGCAAAACTCAATGAAGGAAAATGTGTTTGATAGTACCTTAGAATGTGGAGATAAAGACACTCAAAAAGATTGTGGAGATAAGAGAACCGGAAAATTAAGAAAACGTATGCGCATGCTTCTATTGCAATGAGTTATATACCTATCCAAATTTCAAGAAGGCTGGTTACGTTGCCAAAAGTGTCAAATATGGGCTCATGCAGAGTGTGCAAGACTATCAATGCAAGCTAAGACCTTTATTTGCGAATTATGTTTTGATAATTGATCACTTTATGTATAAATCTACGTATATGCTATTAGGTATCTAAGGTAAGGCAAGATGACTTTTAGATTTTTTTTGTTTTACATTTACAGTTTTAAAATTGAGTTTTGTTTTTGTTTTTCACTTGATAAATATTAAAGAAGAATGTTCTGTTTGTATTATGGCGCTTTTTAATTCATGATACCTTTTACATTTTTCAAAATAAATTGATTTTACCTCCGAGTATGTCGACTTGCCCTTCCCACCCTTCCCTTATGTTGACCTATCAATAATGGAGCCGGTCCACTCTAATACACACTATGTTATTTTTTACGCTGCGAATATTCTTTTGTTTATAAAAATTTAAAATTTTCAGTTGTGTTCCAACAGTAATAATTCAAACATAAATGAAGGGTTGAGTGGATGAAGGAGTTATGTAACAAAAAGTAAGTTTTGAGATATTTGACCCCAAAGTTTTCATTGTAGAACTTTTTTGTAGTTATTGGTTTTCAAATGCTTAACTAATCATACTGTTCCTATGAGTGGTGAAATTAATATGGAAGTTCAAAATATATTTAAATATCTGCTAACCAGACAAAAAAGATGTTGTGTACATATCTCTTTTTTACACAAAGATTTTGTATATTTTATCTTTGTCTACAGCAGGGGTGTCCAACTTGCAATGCCTCAAGGACCAAAACTAAAACCTTTGATGTTGTCGCGGGCCATATAATAATTTTTTTACAAGTAATAACAAAATAAAGTGAGGTATAAAAATAATTAAGACAAAAAAAATATTATTTCTTTTATTGCTGAACAACTACATTTTTTTATAAACGGAACATTTATTGATAACACTCTTTAATAATCAAGACAAACATTGCAAAAGCAACGAAAAAGATGTATCCAATTTTGTCCAAATCCAAGACATGTCCACCTCCAGTTCAGTTGTAGACACTCTTATAAGATGACGTAAGGAAGAATCGGTAAGATTGCTTTTGTTTTTATTTTTTATGTATTTCATGAAGGAAAAGGCACTTTCACCTGTATATGTGCTTCCGAACATTGACGTCATTTTCAGTCCAAAATCTCGCAGATTTGGGAATTTCTCCTTTGACAGCAATTTGAAAAATTCAGGTCCCTTTTCTTGTCTGGTGATTAAGAACATGTCTGCTTGAAGATCACAAAACTCAAGCTGTAAGTTGAGTGGTTGATCATCAATGGTTGCTCCAAGAGGGTTATTATAAAGTAGTACACTGCTTTTGAGACTTTCAATTTCTTTAAATCTTCTATTGAATTCATCAATAACTTGATCAGTTTGTGTACTGCAGGATGAAAACTCAATATTTTCCTCACCGTTGAATTCTTCTGCTATTTGCAGACAGCTAGGGAAGTGTGTCAGGTTGTTCTTTTGCAAAGCACGTTTAAACACGTTCAGCTTATTCCGGAATCCGTTTCTCATTCTGATCAAATCTATAACCGTCTGGTTTCTTTCTTGAAGACTCAAGTTTAACATGTTAAGATGATTAGTCAGATCTGTTATAAAAGCTAACTGTCTAAGAATTCTGGATCCTTAAACTTCTCTTCCAGTTCAGTGGTGTCAGATGAAACGTATTTGTTGAGGAATGCAGGGATTTCCTTTCTTATGGAAAAAAATCGTTCCATGCATTTTCCTGCACTCAGCCACCTTACATGGTTGTACATTAGCAAGTCTCCATACTCAGCCTCTGTTTCCACTAAAAACTGCTTAAGTTGCCGTGTAAAAGAGATCGATTCCCACCTCTAATCATATTGATAATCTTAATCACGATTTGGAAAACTTGATCTTCCTTGACTAATTTTCCACATAAAGCTTCTTGATGTACAATGCAATGAATTGTTGGGCAAGTGACACCATTCTCTCGAAGCAGACCCACTAATCCAATTTTTTTACCTGTCATTGATGGGGCCCCGTCTGTTGCTATGGCTGAAAATTTATCAAAGCCTCCAATTCTGTCAACTGTTTTATTCACTGCCTCATTGATGTCTTTTCCTTTTGTTGTTCCATAAAGAAGACAAATATCAAATAACTTCTCTTTACTGGTGAAATCATCAAAAGTAGTGCGCAATAATATTAACAGCTGACTAACATTGGTTTGATCAGTGCTTTCATCCAAACAAAGTGAGAAATATGAACTTTTTTTAACCAGGCTAAGCATAGATTTTTCTACTTGCTCACCCATAGCAACAATCCTTTTTTATACAGTTTGATGTATAGACAACACGGCATAAGATGCATGCAAAGAATACGTTTGAGAGTGTAATATTTTACTGAACATACCAGTTAGATGTTTAAGCTTTTTCTTCAAATCTGCAACTAGGGCACGCCGACTTTCATTTGTGTACGTAGCATACTTATTTTAATGCACTGTTGTGTAGTGTCTTCTCACATTATATTCTTTAGGCACTGAAACGACATTCATACACACTAAGCACTGCAACTTTCCATTATTGTTAGCAATCAAGTAATCACTCTCCCAACTTTCTTTGTAAATTCTCTTCTCACCATCAATTTTCCGTTTTACTGCTTTTACACTTATTATTGTATAAGAGGAATCAAGACAAAGAATTAATCAAGTTCACTGTTCACTAGCAACGTAATAGATTAGCCGACTAGCCTACGTGTCAGTAGCACACTGGCACGATGGCGGCTGGCGACGGATGGTAAGTAGTGGGAGGTGTGGCCTGCGTGAACTGTGATGCGCAGTAATCAGTGCAGTTCTCATAGTGGTGGAGGACGATTGTGTTCGTTACTCGTCCGCTAAGCGGCACGCGGTACAGTACTTGTGATGTAAAAACACTGCTAAACCATAAAATATAAAATAAATTAAAAAATCTTTTTTTACAGTGGCAGCATTTAAAGAAAATATATGCTTTTCGAAAATATTACGTGGGTCACAACAAATAGCCTTGCGGGCAGAATGCGGCCCGCGGGCCGCCAGTTGAACAACCCTGGTCTAAAGGATAAAACAGGTTATGTGCATACAATTGAAAATACTGTTGTGTTGTGTAACGAAAGGAAGCTGTTGGAAATTGTTAAGAATATTGACTTCTTTAAAAGGAGTACCATAATCGAAACTCTCTTTAAAGAGGTATAACCCATAGCTACACGAATCCATTTAATGCCATACTAGAAATATACTTTTTCATTTAGAATATCTTTTTTCTATTCATCAGTTGCATTTTATTTAGAAGGTTCTCGGTGTCTTTGAAATGATGCTGCATATCAACAACCACATTATTCCTTTTATTGGCAGAGGCAATAATTTCATGGTATTCTTGTGGACTACAAATAATTTGATGTTTCCTTAATATTTTATCAATTCGGCCAAAATCCCGGTCTGAATCTAAGTAGGAATGACAAACTTCAGGAAACTTATGGTCAATTATTTGGAACATTCCTTTTTGTATAAGATACTCATAAACACACTCCATTGGGAAATTTTTGTCTTGCCCTGCAAACGAATCTGTCCAAATAATTAAGTGATTTTTTTGTTTTAGTGATAGCTCAACTTCAATGGTTTCTAAAAGACAACTAGCGATCTCACTACTACTCCCGCATGCTTGTTTTTCAGTCCATATACAATAAAATATTGCTTTATCAACTTCTTTAGTTATAATATGTATGGCTAAATCATAGAACCATATTTGGCGGAGGTAAAATGCTTTAGAAGTACTTAGTTTAGACAACGGCATGTTTGTTGGAGATCGAATGTCATATATACAACACCCGCAAACGCTGCTTTTTAATTTTCAATACGTTCCTTATTTGCAGCACCAGAATCGCAAG